GACGGACTCGGGCTTTCGTAAGGGGAGGCTCGGATGGGAAGAGAAATTTTCATCTGGTCTCTTGGAATGAGGTGTGCAAACCCAAAGACGAGGGTGGCCTAGGCATTAAGAATCTTAGGTGCATGAATAAAGCCTTTTTGATGAAGCTCGGCTGGAGGATTCTGACGAACAGTAGCTCCTTGTGGGTTCGACGCTTGTGGCTAAGTACGGACTAAGCCCATTGAATAGCCGTGAGAGCTTTCTGGGTCGACAAGGCTCGGGGATGGCGCGGGCTCTTCGGCGCCTGTGGCCGGAATTGGTTAAGAGTGTGCGCTGGATTCTTGGCAACGGGCTGACAGTCCGCTTTTGGACTGATCCGTGGCTTGGATCTGAAGGCCCTTTATGCAGATTTTTGAGTAGCGTTTCGCCGGCGGTTAACACTGAGGCACGAGTTGCGGACTACGTTGATGAGTGTGGGCAGTGGAAGTGGAACGAGTTCCACGGACTCCTCCCGTCGTCACTAATCTTGAGAATAGCTGGTACGCTCCCGCCGCGAGAGGACGCCGGAGAAGACCGGATGGCTTGGGCCCACTCCAAGGATGAGAAGTTCTCTACGTGTACCGCATACAAATCACTGTTTCAGCGAGGTCGGGACCCTGATAAGTCGTTGTGGAATTTGATTTGGCTAGCTCCGGCTCCCCCAAAGAGTTCGCACGTTTCTTTGGCTCGCAGCAAAAGGTCGTCTGCTGACCAATATGGAATGGGGCAGGCGCCACTTAGCTTCGTCGATGGACTGTGACGTTTGCAAATAAGATGAATCCGAGCTTCATGTATTGCGGGACTGTCGGGCGGCCAAAACCCTCTGGTCTTGTTTGCTGCCTTCAGCTCAGGCTCGTGATTTTTTCTCTTTACCTCTCAAATCCTGGCTTAGGCAAACCTTAGTGACTCTACGACTGGGCTCCGTTATGGAGTGGGGTAGCATGTTCTCTTTTGTGGTTTGGCGCCTCTGGTCCTCGCGTAATGATATGATCTTCAACCAAAATTTTTTGAGCACTGATGTGAAGCTTCTGGAGGTTCCTAGGATGAAAACTATCTACAGTCGGGAGGTCATGGCTCACGCTCGGGTTGGGGCGATGCCTTATGTTACCCGCTTTATCCGGTGGTCACCGCCGGACACGGGTTGGATCAAGGTTAATACGGATGGTGCATGTGATAGTTCCACCAGATTGAGTAATGCGGTTGGCTTGATAAGGGATGAATTTGGTAGATGGGTGGACGAATTCTTTATGAACATTAGGTTTTGCACTATTACAGATGCTGAGCTTTGGGGTCTTTTACAGGGGCTAAATATGGCGTGGGACTTGGGCTTCAGAAAAGTTAATGCAGAAGTGGACAATCAGTGCGCGGCAAAATTGGTTAGTGGCACGACAGATAGGTCGGGGACCCATGCATCGCTGGTTAAGGCGATTCGAAGCCTTTTGGAACGGAACTGGAGGATCACGATCTAACACGTTCATCGGGAAGCTAATTTTGCGGCGAATCACATGGCAAGCCTTGCGGCTCAAGTGTCGGTCGGATTTTATCGGATTTCTTGCCCCCTACTAGTTTGGGCGGTTGGCTTCAACATGATCTCATTGGAGTCTCTTATCCCATAAAAGCTGACGTGTAAAGTTGTCTGGATTATTTTGTCTAATCCTGTCCTTCAAAGTAAACGAGCCCTAAGTGTTCTAGCATAAGTGTCATCTTTTAGGCCTTTGGCCTCCTTAATTGTACTTAAAAAAATAAAAAAATAAAATAATAGTAATAATAATTGCTCCCCCTCTCACTATAGATGTAGTTTTAGACTTTTAGGTTGAAAAAAAATCGTTTCATAACTATATTTACAATCCCAATGTACAAATGTATTTTATCTCTATGACTACATTTAAACCCTACATAGTTATTGTTAACCGTAAATTCATGTCGATACAGCCCCCAATTAATTATACTTCCTTCACACTTAATTAAGGGTCATATGATAATACAGTTTTATTTCTTAATTAGTGCGCATAAATATAAAACTAGAGAAATACTACGGTCCCATTATGAAACCATTCCGTCGGAATTTGTAACTGTTAAATCATCATGTAACCGTCGATGATAGTTGATTTAGACGATATAAGAACCCCGACAAAATAGCTCCGTAACGGGACCGTAGTATCTTTCTATCGTACATTGTGAAATGGAAAAAGGGCTCTTTTGGATAAAAATATAATTATGTAGTCAACAATCATCCAAATCAAGAGGAA